CTGCTGGCCCAGATGGCATCCCTAGCCGCGTCCTCAGAGCATGCGCAGACCAGCTGGCTGGTGTGTCTACTGACATATTCAATCTCTCCCTATCCCAGTCTGCTGTCCCCACGTGCTTCAAGATGGCCACCATTGTTCCTGTACCCAAGAAAGCAAATGTAACTGAACTAAATGACTATCGCCCCGTAGCACTCACTTCTGTCATCATGAAGTGCTTTGAGAGACTAGTCAAGGATCATATCACCTCTACCTTACCTGCCACCCTAGACCCACTACAATTTGCTTACCGCCCCAATAGATCCACAGACGGTGCAATCGTCATCACACTGCACACTGCCCTATCCCATCTGGACAAGAGGAATACCTATGTAAGAATGCTGTTCATTGACTATAGCTCAGCATTCAACACCATAGTACCCTCCAAGCTCATCATTAAGCTCAAGGCCCTGGGTCTGAACCCCACCCTGTGCAACTGGGTCCTGTATATTGGGTATATGTTGTGAAATTGTTAGATATTGACCAATACAATTTGATTTGATTTGATTATCAGTGGAATGAGCTGTTCTAATGCCAGATTGGAGTTCATAAAGAAGTTTGTGCTCGAGAAGTTATCCCTCAAGTTGATTAAAAACTAATCTCTTAACAACTTTGGATAGGGTGCTGAGGATCGACACAGGCCTGTTGTTTCCTACATCTGTTTTACTGCTCTTCATGTGGAGCGGAACTACCCTGGCTGTTTTGAGATCATTGGGGAATTCACCACTATTAATAGAAAGGTTTACAATATGCATTATCATTTTAGCAGTGAAAAAGGCACTATCCTTTATGATATCTTGCAGGAAGGTTATCCAACCCAGTTGCTTTGTTTGTGCTTATCAAGCATAGTAGATTGGAAACGTTGTCCTCTGTTACCTTGCACAGCTCAAATAAGTCATTTGTGATACCTTTGTTATGGTAAAAGTTGTTAATGAAAGACTGGCCATAGTGTCCAGAGCAGGTCTGTAATTTCATAACCAGAGATGAGACTACAGTGGTAAAAAATGTGTTAAAGTAATTTGTAACCGTTGCCTGGTCATAGCATAAAACGTTTTTTACCTTATGGGCAGTTTTAGAGCCAATGTCCTTTAAAATGTTCCACAGTTTACGAGGCTGATGTAAGTTGTAATTAACAGCGTCTATGTAATGTTGGGATTTGGCCTTATCCATTTTGTATCTTGCCTTGTTTCTGCCGTTAATATAACAATCATAATCTTGTTGTAGATTTCTCCTTTTGAATTTGGCCAGGTAGTGATCCCTTTTCCTTATGAGGTCTAAGATCTGTCCAGTGATCCATTTCCCTGACAGCTATTTGATTCAAATTTGTTTAATCGGAGCCAGAGAGTCGAGTGCAGACAGAAACATCTCTTTAAAAAGATACCAAGCTTGATCAACATCATCACATTTAAGTACTTCTTCAAAACGGTCCTTTGAGTATTGTTTCATAGACCGTACCTTAATGTAGTGATTACCTGGCTGTGTACAGTGTACAGTAGGTTACCATAGGCTCACTAAAACCAATATTTAATACTCCTGACTGACAGACGTTCTCCAAAGTTGATTTACTGTCAAAACACACCCAAATTGGCTCGACAATCAGTTGTTTCAGTTCAAATAACTGATTCAAGTTATACAGGGCATTTACTAGTGTACTTTTCTTGGGTGAAAACTTCACATTTGTATTAAAATCGCCAAGCCGAATACATTCCCTGTCAGCAAATACACTGATCACAGCAATTCGATTCAAGTAAATCATAGAAATCATTCTGCTTAGGAGACCGATAGCACACACCAACAAGTATAGGACGATATTTAGGAATGAGTATATCTACCAATGCAACCTCAAGTCCATCCATTTTCAGATCTGAGCGAGGATTAAGATGCACATAATTCCTAGTAGAAACACAATGCATCGCTGCTAGTGTTAAACCATTGTGTTTGGTCACGAAGGTGGAGCCTATGTCTATGAACGTGAAATCCCCATTAATTAGATCATGACAAAGTGCTGGGCTTTGTCCTACACTTCTGCTTGCTAATGTGCATTAATCAAATGAATGGACACACCGGAGGCAGCGAAACGGCAACAAATCAGCATTATTGCAAAATGATCTTTCTATATTTAGACGGGGAAAAACGCGCAGCCATTTTACATTCTGTAATCAAGATGAAATAGTTACATTATGAAGAGTCTTAAGCTACCATAGGGACTAACAGATAAGATATTGACGCCTCTGAAAGTCACATTGAGACTTGGATGGCAATCGTGGCGTGCACAGATTGTGAGACCTGGGGAGAGATCAGTGGATCTGTCTTTGGTATCGATAGATGGATTAGTCTTTGAGTGTTTGATCAGATTAGGTTTAGTGGATTATTATAATTAGTATGGTAGCCTGGTCCCTGTGTTTTGGTTGTATGACGATAGGAGTTGGCTATATACAGCACAAACAGACCTGGGAACAGGTCATTGGTATGGATGGCACCCACTGAGTGCACGTGTACACATTCAAACCTCTCCTTTCCTTACAGTAAAAAAGCCAGGGCACAGATGATGTCAAGTGATCAGAAACATCAGAGGCCATATCAAGCATTTCAGAGTAGGAATGCTTATTTAGGATAAATGCTGCCTTTCAGATCCCATTAATAAGATTGCATATCCAGGTGGGGCTGATCCAGATGCTAAGATGCTTGATACATACGATGGCCCCAGAAACACTGCCCGCCTTGGGTTCACAGCCCATCACTACAGATCGCCGGTAGCAGCGCGACCACGTGTACTGTGATCTTTAATTAAATGATAAGTGGCAAGCCCAGAGCTCGGGCGTGCAAATGCTACGATTGTGATTGTCAGTGTGACGTCGCAACTTCCACACGTATCACGTGCCATGAGTTGAGGTGAGAAAAGTGGGAGTTTTCGACAATCCTGGTAGTTATCCTGGCATTTCACAGATGTAGCTTCTGTGTCTTGTGATTTTTCCAGGCAACAGCTCCTCGCTGAGTGGTTATAAGCCTAGATTTGGAAGATTCTAGATAAGTGTATTGGCGTCACTTTCCATCCAAGCCTCCTTTTCCCCCAACTCCTGCTAAAATGTCAGTCGCAGTCAGTCCCTTTGACAAAGATCTGTCTCCCACTGCAAACCATTCTGTCGATGGCAGTTCCTGGACCATTGGAAGGTTGACGTTTATTGTCATAAGTCTTGCCCTGGAGGCAGAACTGAATGGTTTCCGCTAGATGGGCCAGCTGCAAAGTCAAAATGTATGAAAACAAAAATGTGCTTTTTGGTCTTCATTTAAGGTTAGGATTAGGCATTAGGGTTAGCAGTGTGGTTAGGGTAAAGGTTAGGGTTAGGTTTAAAATCAGATTTTATGACTTTGTGGCTGTGCCAGCTAGTGACCAGTCTGCAGAGCTGCCTCCAGTACACGAGTCATCTAAAAAAATGCCAACATTTTACATTTTAGTCATTTAGCAGACTTTTATTTATTTTATTTATTTCACCTTTATTTAACCAGGTAAACCAGTTGAGAACAAGTTCTCATTTACAACTGCGACCTGGCCAAGATAAAGCAAAGCAGTGCGATAAAAACAACAACACAGAGTTACATGTGGGGTAAAACAAAACAAAGTCAAAAATACAACAGAAATACATATATATACAGTGTGTGCAAATTTAGCAAGTTATGGAGGTAAGGCAATAAAATAGGCTATAGTGCAAAATAATTACTATTAGTATTAACACTGGAATGATAGATGTGCAAGAGATGATGTGCAAATATAGATACTGGGGTACAAATGAGCAAAATAAATAACAATATAGGGATGAGGTAGTTGGGCGGGCTAATTTCAGATGGGCTGTGTACAGGTGCAGTGATCGGTAAGGTGCTCTGACAACTGATGCTTAAAGTTAGTGAGGGAGATAAGTGTCTCCAGCTTCAGAGATTTTTGCAATTTGTTCCAGTCATTGGCAGCAGAGAACTGGAAGGAATTGCGGCCAAAGGAGGTGTTGGCTTTGGGGATGACCAGTGAGATATACCCGCTGGAGCGCAGACTACGGGTGGGTGTTGCTATGGTGACCAATGAGCTAAGATAAGGCGGGGATTTGCCTAGCAGTGATTTATAGATGGCCTGGAGCCAGTGGGTTTGGCGACGAATATGTAGTGAGGACCAGCCAACAAGAGCGTACAGGTCACAGTGGTGGGTATTATATGGGGCTTTGGAGACAAAACGGATGGCACTGTGATAGACTACATCCAATTTGCTGAGTAGAGTGTTGGAGGCTATTTTGTAAATGACATCGCCGAAGTCAAGGATCGGTAGGATAGTCAGTTTTACGAGGGCATGTTTGGCAGCATGAGTGAAGGAGGCTTTGTTGCGAAATAGGAAACCGATTCTAGATTTAACTTTGGATTGGAGATTCTTAATGTGAGTCTGGAAGGAGAGTTTACAGTCTAACCAGACACCTAGATATTTGTAGTTGTCCACATACTCTAGGTCAAACCCGTCGAAAGTAGTGATTCTAGTCGGGTGGGCGGGTGCAAGCAGCGTTCGGTTGAAGAGCATGCATTTAGTTTTACTAGTGTTTAAGAGCAGTTGGAGGCTACTGAAGGAGTGTTGTATGGAATTGAAGCTCGTTTGGAGGTTTGTTAACACAGTGTCCAATGAAGGGCCAGATGTATACAAAATGGTGTCGTCTGCAGGCTCTTATCCAGAGCGACTTACAGTTAGTGATTGCATACATTTTCATACTGGCCCCCCATGGGAATCGAACCCACAACCCTGCCGTTGCAAGCGCCATGCTCTACCAACTGAGCTACACGGGGCCCGTACCATTGTCCTGTACCATTGCAATTTTCTAACATGTTTTTTTACTCTTATACAGTGGTTCTTTCACACAGCACTGAACGCTTCTTTATTATCATATGATGATAATGAACATTGAACAATATTAATATGCATATGTCTCCCCTAGGATACCGCAGGGCAGGAGAGGTACAGGACTATCACCACCGCTTACTACAGAGGAGCTATGGGCTTCATCCTCATGTACGACATCTGCAATGAAGAGTCCTTCAACGCTGTGCAGGACTGGTGAGTGAGTGGTCTGCTGACTGAGAAACCAGGGCTGTGTCTCAATACTCTAAAATGGCTTCCTTTGCGTGTGTGTGTGACTGTGTGTGACTGTGTGTGTGTTTGACTGTGTGTGTGTTTCAGGGCTACCCAGATAAAAACCTATTCGTGGGATAACGCTCAGGTCATCATGGTGGGCAACAAGTGTGATGTGGGCGAGGAGAGGGTGGTGCCCACAGAGAAGGGGAAGCACTTGGCTGACCAATTAGGTGAGTTCATTTGTGGGATGAATTGGTAAATTGCCTGTAAGATTGTGTGCTGGATTACCATATTGTCAAGGCTGTCCTTCTGCTGAAATTCATGTTTTCGCTTTATAGCAGTGATGACCTGCATGGTAGTTCTGGCCAGGACAAGATTCCATGTTTCGTGTGAGATTTTAATTGAAACCACACTGAGGAATTGTGGTGGTGAACAAAATGGCGTCTATTCTATTCTAGTAGAATGAAGAATAAATTGGTAATACAAAGTAAAGACTTATCCCCTGGGGCTATACAGTACCCTCTGTAATTATTGGGACAGTGAAGCATTTCTTCTTCTTTTGGCTCTATACTCCAAAAGTTTGGATTTGAAATCAAACAATGACAATGTGGTTAACGTGCAGACTGCCAGCTTGATTTGAGGGCATTCTCATTCATATTGCATGAAACGTTTAGAAATTACAGCACTTTTTGTACATAGACCCTTTTTATGGGACCAAAAGTTTTGGGACGAATTCACTTATACAGTTGAAATCGGAAGTTTACATACACTTTAGCCAAGTACATTTAAACTCAGTTTTTCACATTTCCTGACATTTAATCGTAGTAAAAATTCCCTGTCTTAGGTCAGTTGGGATCACCACTTTATTTTAAGAATGTGAAATGTCAGAATAATAGTAGAGAGAATGATTTATTTCAGCTTTTATTTCTTTCATCACATTCCCAGTGGGTCAGAAGTTTACATACACTCAATTAGTATTTGGTAGCATTGCCTTTAAATTGTTTAACGGGTCAAACGTTTCCGGTAGCCTTCCACAAGCTTCCCACAATATGTTGGGTGAATTTTGGCCCATTCCTCCTGACAGAGCTGGTGTAACTGAGTCAAGTTTGTAGGCCTCCTTGCTCGCACACGCTTTTTCAGTTCTGCTCACAAAGTTTCTATAGGATTGAGATCAGGGCTTTGTGATGGACACTCCAATACCTTGACTTTGTTGTCCTTAAGCCATTTTGCCACAACTTTGGAAGTATGCTTGGGGTCGTTGTCCATTTGGAAGATTTGCGACCAAGCTTTAACTTCCTGACTGATGTCTTGAGATGTTGCTTCAGTATATCCACATAATTTTCCTTCCTCATGATGCCATCTATTTTGTGAAGTGCACCAGTCCCTCCTGCAGCAAAGCACCCTCACAGCATGATGCTGCCACCCTGTGCTTCACAGTTGGGATGGTGTTCTTCGGCTTGCAAGCAGCCCCCTTTTTCCTCCAAACATAACGATGGTCATTATGGCCAAACAGTTCTATTTTTGTTTCATCAGACCAGAGGACATTTCTCCAAAAAGTACGATCTTTGTCCCCATGTGCAGTTGCAAACCGAAGTCTGGCTTTTTTATGGCGGTTTTGGAGCAGTGGCTTCTTCCTTGCTGAGCAGCCTTTCAGGTTATGTCGATATAGGACTCGTTTACTGTGGATATAGATACTTGTGTACCGGTTTCCTCCAGCATCTTCACAAGGCCCTTTGCTGTTGTTCTGGGAATGATTTGCACTTTTCGCACCAAAGTACGTTCATCTCTAGGAGACAGAACACGTCTCCTTCCTGAGCGGTATGATGGTTGCGTGGTCCCATGGTGTTTATACTTGCGTACTATTGTTTGTACAGATGAACGTGGTACCTTCAGGCGTTTGGGAAATTGCTCCCAAGGATGAACCAGACTTGTGGAGGTCTACAAAATTTTTTCTGAGGTCTTGGCTGATTTCTTTTGATTTTCCCATGATGTCAAGCAAAGAGGCATTGAGTTTGAAGGTAGGCCTTGAAAGACATCCACAGGTACACCTCCAATTGACTCAAATGATGTCAGAAGCTTCTAAAGCCATGACATCATTTTCTGGAATTTTCCAAGCTGTTTAAAGGCACAGTCAACTTAGTGTATGTAAACCTCTGACCCACGGGAATTGTGATATAGTGAATTATAAGTGAAATAATCTGTCTGTAAACAATTGTTGGAATATTTACTTGTGTCATGCACAAAGTAGATGTCCTTACCGACTTGCCAAAACTATAGTTTGTTAACAAGAAATTTGTGGAGTGGTTGAAAAATGAGTTTTAATGACTCCAACCTAAGTGTATGTAAACTTCCGACTTCAACTGTAAGTTCTTCCCCATACGTGTTATTAGCATTGCTCTAGTCTTGTCAAGAGTTGTCGTGCTAACCAGTCTACACACTTCATTTCTATAGCTGTGCGCCATAACGTGCCATGTCTGTACTTTGCACCCCATGTTGTGGAGGCAAGCTATTCAGTACTAGTTGTTTCATGCTGACTGCTCTGATGTCACCTTCCTGAGACCTTCGGTCACTCCTGGAGCTTTGTGTTAGCCTCTTGCTCTCAAATGTTGAACGGTTGGCTGAAGTGTGACCACTGTTGAGGGTATCTTATCGAATCCGGGAGCGTGTTGATGCATGGTACACATCATGGTACAACCTGTGTAATATACAGTATGCTGTGTACCCACCTAGCTCTGGTCCTAGGCATTAGTTGCATTCCACTACTAACTTAGTAGAGGAACGCACACTAACGCCCTGGACCAGAGCTATGTACTCACCATACTGTATGTACTCCTTCTGTCTGTCTGCAGGGTTCGAGTACTACGAGGCCAGCGCCAAGGAGAACATTAATGTCCGCCAGGTGTTTGAGCGGCTGGTCGACATCATCTGCGTCAAGATGTCCGAGCGAGTTGACGTGGAGCCGCCCATGGTCCCCGGCGTCAAGACCACCAGACTCACCGACAAGCCCCCCCAGTTACCTCAGAAGTGCACCTGTGCCTGACTCACACGTATAGGGCCAAACCGAGCCAAGCCATGCCGAGCCGTACTTGGCTGGCCTGGTTACGCATCTACCATAGTTGCTGAAACCATGCTGGAAAATACCATTTGAATAGAAAATATCCGATCCAGCACAGTGCGGTTGGGGTTGGCCCTATAGTAAGAGTCAGGTACTACTGATTTGGCCTCTCAGTTCTCCCCTACTACACTTGCCATTCCACTATTGTTCTTTCCCTACTCCCTGTTAAGCTATTACAAGTTCTACAAACCTCTTTCCAAAGGTAGCTATCTATACAATGTAATTAATCAAGCTACCAATAACCACTACTACTACTACTACCACCACCACTACCACCACCACTACTACTACTATTATTATTATTATTATTATTATTATTATACTACTATTATGTAGAATGTACATATCTGTTTCACCCCTATAGCTTTGACCTCCAGCTGGTTCAGAGGTCAGGGAACACTAAGCAGGGTATACAGGTAAGCACAGCACTGCCTCTCTCCTCCAAAAGGTGGCTTCACCACCACACATAGAAACACAAGACCACATCCGTTCACATTACAAGTTTACACGGGTGAGGAGATAAGCCTTGATAGCTGCATAATCTTAAAATTCAGAATAATTTTGTCTAGTGCTCTTGTTGACCGTCTCTTACAAGCACTAATGCGAAGACAAACTACCCACTGGTTACAGACGTAAGTTCAACATGTAGTTTTGATTTAAATTTGGTTGAGTTGTCAACTAACGGGAATTCAACGTGAAATCAACAACAAAAATTCACCATGACATTGGATTTAGTTTAAATGTTAGATGAAAAAAAGAATAAATGCCCTTATGTTGATGACTTTTTGCAAATCCAATCAGTTTTCCACGTTGAAACAACGTCATCACATTTATTTTTTGGGTTGAAATGATGTGGGAACAACGTTGATTCAATCAGTTTTAGCCCAGTGGGTAATAATCTTCCCTGTAGATTCTTCAGTCTCTTAACGATATGCAGTGCCGCTGTCTCTTGAAGGGGTAGTAACGATAGTACACCGATGAAACGGCAAGATGTCCAATACGTCTTGCACCACCAACACCAAGCCAATGCCATGTACAGGGTGTTCTGACATTCTGAGGGACTATTTAGAATATAGATGTTCATTGAAGAGCACACTCTTTATCCTTCAGCTAATATAATCTCGTAGCCGTTATGTAAGCCATGTTTGTTTACAGTGTTTATTTCATGAAAATGTGTGTGTTTTAGAGAGCAAAGTGGTCTATTGTTGTATATGACATACAGTATATAACTGAGTGTTCAGTTGTAACGGTTTCATTTGTGTATCATGTATCTTGGGCAGAGGTACATGTCATATGAGACACATCAAAATACTTTGTGAAATGGGAAGAGACAGAACATTATATAAAAAAAAATTGTGCTAAAAAAAACGATGGAAAAATGTGAAACATATTCTGCCAAATCTTTATGTATTGCAAAGTAGCACGTTTTTAAGTGTAACTTCCCACCATGTGTATTTTCAGTTTTTTATTGAAATGTCTTAATATAATTATTTAATATGTGCATTTGTAAATTATAGAGTTAGAATCTATAATGGTGTTTGCTGAATTTATTTTTATGCTGTATTATGGAAAGAAATATAGACCATTTATGTAAACTTGTTGTTACAGTAAACTCCTGGACAAAATGGGAAAAAAGCACAAAGTGATTGTACAAAATATTGTGAATGTTTGTATATTATAGATGCAATTTAGAATATTAAAAAGCACAACTCTTTACTTGAATTCATTGATTCCATTAAGCACTAATGGTCTTTTGAATTCTGTACAATCAGTTAAATAAACTACAACTAATCTAATTTTCTTATAGGCAGCTAGCATAGAGATCTTATTAAATTAAGTATTCTAATTCCTAATTATAAACTGGGTGGTTCGAGCCCTGAATGCTGATTGGCTGAAAGCTGTGGTATATCACGTATCACAGATACCACGGGTATGACAAAACATGTATTTTTACTCTTCTAATTACGTTGGTAACCAATTTATAATAGCAATAAGGCACCTCGGGGGTTTGTGGTATATGAACAATATACTGTACCACGGCTAAGGGCTGTATCCAAGCGCTCCGCGTTACGTCATGCTTAGGAACAGCCCTTAGAAATATCACATTTACATAAGTATTCAGACCCTTTACTCAGTACTTTGTTGAAGCACCTTTGGCAGCGATTACAGCCTTGAGTCTTCTTGGATATGACGCTACAAGCTTGGTATTTGGGGAGTTTATCCCATTCTTCTCTGCAGATCCTCTCAAGCTCTGTCAGGTTGGATGGGGAGCGTCGCTGCACAACTATTTTCAGGTCTCTCCAGAGATGTTCGATCGGGTTCAAGTCCGGGCTCTGGCTGGGCCACTCAAGGACATTCAGAGACTTGTCCCGAAGCCACTCCTGCGTTGTCTTGGCTGTGTGCTTAGGGTCGTTGTACTGTTGGAAGGTAAACCTTCGCCCCAGTCTGAGGTCCTGAGCGCTCTGGAGCAGGTTTTCATCAAGGATCTCCATTCTTCTTTGCCTCAATCCTGACTAGTCTCTTAGTCCCTGCTGCTGAAAAACATCCCCACAGCATGATGCTGCCACCACCATGCTTCACCGTAGGGATGATGCCAGGTTTCCTCCAGACGTGACGCTTGGCATTCAGGTCAAAGAGTTCAATCTTGGTTTCATCAGACCAGAGAATCTTGTTTCTCGTGTTCTGAGAGTCTTTAGGTGCCTTTTGGCAAACTCCAAGCGGGCTGTCATATGCCTTTTACTGAGGAGTGGCTTCCGTCTGGCCACTCTACCATAAAGGCCTGATTGGTGGAGTGCTGCAGAGATGGTTGTCCTTCTGGAAGGTTCTCCCATCTCCACAGAGGAACTCTAGAGCTCTGTCAGAGTGACCATTGGGTTCTTGGTCACCTCCCTGACCAAGGCCCTTCTCCCTCGATTGCTCAGTTTGGCCAGTTCTAGGAAGAGTCTTGGTGGTTCCAAACTTCTTCCATTTAAGAATGATGGAGGCCACTGTGGGACCTTCAATGCTGCAGAAATTATTTGGTACCCTTCCCCAGATCTGTGCCTCGACACAATCCTGTCTCGGAGCTCTAAGGAAAATTCCTTCGATCTCATGGCTTGGTTTTTGCTCTGACATGCACTGTCAACTGTGGGACCTTTATATAGACAGGTGTGTGCCTTTCCAAATCATGTCCAATCAATTGAATTTACTACAGGTGGACTCCAAGTTGTAGAAACATCTCAAGGATGATCAATGGAAAGAGGATGCACCTGACATAGCAAAGGGTCTGAATACTTATGTAAATAAGGTATTTCTGTTTTTTATTTTTTTAAATAAATTTGCAAACATTTCTAAAAACCTGTTTTCGCTTTGTTATTATGGGGTATTGTGTGTAGATTACTCAGGATTGTTTTTTATTTAATCCATTTTAGAATAAGGCTGTAACTTAACAAAATTTTGAAAAAGTCAAGGGGTCTGAATACTTTCCAAAGGCACTGTACTTTACCTGCACACACTAGTACCTGGGGTGTATTCATTACGCCGATTCTGTTGCAAAACGATGTGGATGGGGCGTGCTCCCTCTGCTGTCTCCTGAATTCCACGATAAGCTCCTTTGTTTTGTTGACGTTGAGAGAGAGGTTATTTTCCTGGCACGACTCTGCCAGGGCCCTCACCTCGTCTCGTCATTGTTGGTAATCAGGCCTACTACTGTTGTGTCGTCTGCAAACTTGATGATTGAATTGGAGGAGTGCGTGGCCACGCAGTCATGGGTGAACAGGGAGTACAGGAGGGGACTGGCACGCACCCATGTGGGGCCCCAGAGTTGAGGATCAGCGTAGTGGAGGTGTTGTTTCTTACCTTCACCACCTGGGGGCGGCCCGTCAGGAAGTCCAGGACCCAGTTGCACAGGGCAGGGTTCAGACCCAGGGCCTTGAGGTTAATGATGAGCTTGGAGTGTACTATGTTATCCTCTCAAAGCACTTCATGACAGACAGAAGTGAGTGCTACGAGGCGATAGTCATTTAGTTCAGTTACCTTTGCTTTCTTGGGTACAGGAACAATGGTGGACATATTGAAGCAAGTGGGGACAGCAGACTGGGATAGGGAGGGATTGAATATGTCCGTAAACACTCCAGCGAGCTTGTCTGCACATGCTCTGAGGACGTCTGGGCCAGCAGCCTTGCGAGGGTTAACACGCTTAAATGTCTTACGTAGGCCACGGAGAACGAGAGCCCACAGTCCTCGGGAGCGGCCCGCGTCGGTGGCACTGTGTTATCCTCAAAGCGGGCGAAGAAGGTGTTTAGCTTATCTGGGAGCAAGACGTTGGTGTTTCCGCAACGTGGCTGGTTTTCCTTTTGTAATCTGTGATTGTCTGGAGTCCCTGCCTCATACATCTTGTGTCTGAGCTGTTGAATTGCGACTCCACTTTGTCTCTGTACTGACGTTTTGCCTGTTTGATTGCCTAATGGAGGGAATAACTGCACTGTTTGTATTTCAACCATATTCCCAGACACATTGGCTGTGGTTAAATGCAGTGGTTTACGCTTTCAGTTTAGCGCGAATGCTGCCATCTATTCACGGTTTTTGGTTTGGGTAGGTATAAGATCTCCTAAACCTGTGTTAACCTCAGACATTATTTTGGGCTTTTATCCCAAAACCCTATTCTTTCCCTATTAATTTTCCCCATAGGAACGCCTGAACGAACCAGAGGTAACTCATTTCCGGTTTTTAGGATTACAAACTGGCCAGCTCTATTGCCACTGCTCTTGGACATTGCCATGATCCACCATTTTAAAGTAGTCAAGTAATCAACTGGGTGGGGATTCCTATGGGTTGTAGGCTCAATGTGGCTGCCAATGCTGTCAGTCACAGATGCTATAATGGCACATATGTAAAGATGAGTGCTCTATCTATCTCTGTGGATTTTTTCCCAGAAATGTTTTGTACGGGTCTAACGAGCGTTACCACAGATAGAACTATGAGCCAGATATTTCAGCGGATGTATAAATGTAAAGCATCCGGTTGGCGTTTCCACACTACCAAATATGGTAATAAGAGGAAGCCCAGTGGCCGGCAGTGGTAGAAAATGGAGCAAGATGGAGTTTGCCTGACATTCTGCTAATTTTCTCATAGATTAAACATTTGATTTCAATACAGTTTTCGGTTTCCAAAACTAGAATATGTTACGAACAGAGTGGAGTAAGTTTTGTAGACTTTACCCTTTGCCAAAGTTTTAAAAAATAGCGTTATTTAGAAGGAGTGCAAGGGAGAATTGAGTTACTGCACACACGCGCTTCACAGAGTAGGCGTTCCCTAACGGAAATATGCAAATACATGCCTAGACCTTGGCTCTGCCCACCTCCTTGCTTGTTTGCTTGTTCCGCTCACTATGATTCTGCACCCATTGGAAACGACAGGCTGTGGTATATCTAGGGTTAGTTATAAACATCTTTGGCGTTAATCTAGTTTTGTCGTGAAAAAAAAGTAATATTTGAAACAATCTGATACTCCGTTGCTAAGGCACTGCATAGCAGTGCTAGCTGTGCCACTAGAGATCCTGGTTCGAATCCAGGCTCTGTCATAGCCGGTCGCGACCGGGAGACCCATGGGGCGGCGCACAATTGGCCCAGTGTCGTCCAAGGTAGGGGAGGGAATGACCGGCAGGGATGTAGCTCAGCTGGTAGAGCATGGCGTTTGCAACGCCAGGGTTGTGGGTTCGATTCCCACAGGGGGTATAAAAAAAATAATGTGAAAAAATAACTAACTGTAAGTCGCTCTGGATAAGAGCGTCTGCTAAATGACTAAAATGTAAATGTTCTAGCGAATCATATCGCGTCTTGCACAAAATTGTCTAGTGTGATAGCTGGGTTGTCGAGACTACAGCTAGCTTTCATCATTTAGAAAAAAGGTGAGTATCTAGCTAAATGTACAAATTCTGTACAATAATAGCCAATATTTGATGTTTATTAATGAAATTGTGTTACATGTTCCTCACTGAGCAGTTTTGTATTCTGAATGCGACGTTGGCTGCTATTCAATAATCGGTTGTGATTACTAAAAGCCGTAAATGATGGCGCCTGCTGCATGCAACTTTGTGTTTTGACTGATGATGACCTGAACTGATAGTGATATACAGTAGCTAGAAAGTAACACACTGGCTATTGATAATACCCATTTGTGTATACGTGACACTGGAATAATGTGTTAGCTAGTTGTTTCATTTAATCATGTCAGAGTATGGTACTAGCTAGCTCAGGGGTGGGCAAACCTTTTGGCTCAAGGGCCACATTTAGTTTTTGAAACCAAGTCAAGGGCCACATACTATATGCTTGACAAAACTTCATTTCACATTGACACGCAACTACTAGTGTACTGTAGGTGTACATATGCTTGCAGAACAATTCTACCCTTGTACCACATCTACCCTTGTTTTTTGTGAACACATTTCTCACAAAATTGATATAATTTATAACATCACAGACACAGTCAAACACACACATATCCTGCATCTCTACCCTTGTAAAGTACAATCAAACTTACAGTCACAATATGCAAACTTAAAAATAAATATATATTATATGACATGCAATTCTCAGAACAGCTGACAAGTGGTCATTTGTTAAATTTGACCTGTGACGGGATTTGTTGTAATACATGACTGAGAACGTTTGTGCACAAACATATGTGGACCCGAATAAAACAAGCATCCTTTGGGCGTGCTTTTTAATGTTTGGAAACGTTGTTTATAAATAAATAATATGCCATTTAGCAGACGCTTTTATCCAAAGCGACTTACAGTCATGCGTGCATACATTTTTTTTTGTGTATGGGTGGTCCCGGGGATCGAACCCACTACCTTGGCGTTACAAGCGCCGTGCTCTACCAGCTGAGCTACAGAGGACCATTGACCATGTTTCTTTCAGTGAGCCATAGAATTGGTCTATTGTTGCTATTTTGTACTTCTCCTTCAAAGCACTGTCACATTGGATGTCGATGAGCTCCAAGTGTGTGTCTGGTGGGGCTTTCTCACTGTCAAAAGACAGGTGGCATGATACAAGCTCCAGCTCAGCATGCAGGTCGATCAAAGTGCTACTGTATGTCTCAGTGCGGCACTGCGATGTGGGCGCGTTCAGTGTTGCCGGTGTCGGAAAATGAGCTAGAGACCGGCTGCTCATTTGTCTGGAGAACAACATAATTTTGGCCTTGAATGCTTTCACGTTGGAATACAGTTAATGCACAAAAACACAATTTCCCTGCAGTTTCACATTTAGATCATTCAGATGCCCCAATATGTCCACACCGAAAGCAAAGTTGCCCAGCGAGTCTGTGTCTTTCAACTCGGAGAAGTCGTCGGCTTTACCAACCTTATCAAGGAACATACCTATCTCCCCTCTCAGTTCCCACACACGGCGAAATACTTTCCCCAGGCTTAGCCAACGCACATTTGAATGGTACAACAAGTCCTGGTGCTCTGCCTCTGTGTCATTGAGCAGCTGACTGAACTGAAGATGGTTAAGCCCCCTTGCCCGTATAAAGTTTACAAGTTTAACAACCACTTTGATAACATTTTCCAGCTTTAACACACTTTTAGCATGACGATCGAGATTATATTCCTTAAAAACGGCAACACTTTCTTGGCATATCAGACATACCGCCTTCTGTCCAATATTAGTAAAACATTATTTTGCTGTCCATTCTTCTTTAAACACACGATATTCAGAGTCCACTTTCCTCATTTTCGCAGCACTCATTTTTCACGTCAAAAGTCGTCAAGCAATGAAGTGGCTATGATGACTGAGCGCATTCTGAATCTGACTGTAGGCCCAAATCCAGAGCGCGCTGCCAGTCTACACCGCCATCTATTGGAGGTTGTTTAAATATCATGGAATCAGTCATTTTTGCCCCAAAATCGTAATTCAAATATAATAATATTTAAAACATTTAAAAATGTATCGCGGGCTGGATTGCCCCCCCCCCCACCTATCAGATTCTTTCAGATTTACAGGAGTGGGTGCGGGGCAGGAGCTAAGGGTTGATTTGGAATGCTTGCTAAATTTCACACATTCTTGACAGTATGCTGTGCTCTCTGAGGGTTTGCTGTTGTGTAATTTCAGTGCGAAACCTGCAGGCCCCCCTGAGAGAATGCCTCAGACGAATAAAGCGAATAGTTCTGCAGCAGGCGGCCCTGGGCAGGTGTCTGCACTGGACCATTGTGAACCGCCGCCACCTCAAGCCGAGCCCAGGGACCTGGCCGCGGGGGACGGAGAGGATGGAGGAGAGGAAGACCAGGGAGACCTCCTGATCAACAAGTCACCCAGCGATCCCAAGAAGTACAGGTACGGTCTAAGATCAACTTGAAATTAATAACATTTATAAATTCAAATATATAGCTGCATAACTGTGTAAACCAGTAAATCATGGCATCATCTGAGTGATTGCGAATTTCTCTGTCCATCCCAGGTTGTGGTGTTTTCAGTTTCACTGAAGTAGAACTGGCTTATCATATTTTCATACATTTTGCTCGCTCTGCAGGTATATCGAGCTGACCAATGGCCTGAGAGTTCTTCTCATCTCAGACTTTAGTGGGTCAGACGGCAAGGACGCCTGTAGGGAGGAAGAGGAGGGGGCATCAGCGTCAGGAGGTGGAGAGGAAGCGGAAGAAGAGGGGAGGGCACAGAGGAGGAGGACGAGGTTGAGGAAGAGGAGCACGACAGTGACTTTGAGGAGAAGAGAAACCGAACAAAGGGAGCTCAGAGAAACAGGTTGGTGTCGCTGTGGTACAATACTATGGTACGATACTAGGCTAATGCTTTCACAGATGAATGACCCAACAGCTCAAAGAGAGAGCATAGCCACAAGGGTGCTATGCAAGCCAAGGTCAAATCATTACACAGTGATCTTCAGGTCTGAAAGTCAGAACTCTAGAAAGATGTCTGAGTTTCCGACTTGGAATTCCGAGTTTGATGACCGTTCAAAATGATTTTTCCCAGTCGGATCTCGTTTTTTCAGTTCCCAGTTGTCTTGAACGCACTGAAGTCGGAAGTTGGAGATTTCCGAGTTCCCAGTTGTTTTGAACACAGCATTAGTCTCAGCAGAGGGAGAGTAACAGAGGGTCCACCTCTCACGGTCCCTGCTCTCTCCTTCCTTTCCTCCAGTGACCAGAGAGAGGGGACACTGTCTTCCACCTGATGGTGAAACTCGAGTCGCACCGCATCTGAACAAATTCATGTTGTTCTTATGACCAGAGAAAGTTAAATATTCCTAGATATTAAGAGACACGACAAGCTGCGAATAATAATAAATAAAAACATAGACATGAACTCACTCATAAAAACAGCAGCTCTTTGCTGTATTCTTTGACAGTCCATCTCTGGTCATGGTTTTAAAAGTTATTAAATCTCACGTAGGCTAGTATCAAACTTTGCTGTATCCTGGGTTGTGGAAGCTGAAGGAACGGTGAATTGAGCTATCCGATTGGCCAGCGCAGTAGGCAAACTCGATTTAGCCCCAGATCTCCCAGTCCGCCGGGCAGGCAGTTTGTCTTTTCAGACAAATGAAATGGTTCAATATGGGAACACTTTGCCTGCCCGGTGCGCAGGGCTTCTGAATCAAGTGCACCTACCGGCAACAGGGCTTCTGAATCAAGTGCACATACCGGCAACAGGGCTTCTGAATCAAGTGCACCTACCGCCAACAGGGCTGCTGAATCAAGTGCACCTACCGCCAACAGGGCTGCTGAATCAAGTGCACCTACCGCCAACAGCGCAACACCAATAATATATAAAAGGAGCAGGCCTATATCGTTGGCTTTTCTCCAGAAATGTTTGGTGATCGACAAGGAATGCCTTGAAGATCGACCAGTCGATCGACCGATTGGTGACCACTGCTCTATGGAAAGTGTTCTAAAGAGTGGGGACTGATGGAATTTATTAAGTGAAAGGGCGGGAGACGGGGGGCATGCATCCTCGTGTGTGTGTGTTTTCCTCATCCCTCCTGTGTCTCCCAGTCTGCAGCTGCTCTCTGTATCAATGTGGGGAGCTTCAGTGACCCAGAGGACCTTCCAGGAGGACAGTGAGTACTTCTGTACTGTAGCGCCACAGAATACTTTCTCAATCTAACACTACATTGGAACACTACCTATAAACTAACACTACATTGGAACACTACCTATAAACTAACACTACATTGGAACACTACCTATAAACTAACACTACATTGGAACACTACCTATAATCTAACACTACATTGGAACACTACCTATAATCTAACACTACATTGGAACACTATCTATAATCTAACACTATCTATAATCTAACACTACATTGGAACACTACCTATAATCTAACACTACATTGGAACACTACCTATAAACTAACACTACATTGGAACACTACCTATAAACTAACACTATCTTGGAACACTACCTATAATCTAACACTACATTGGAACACTACCTATAAACCTAATACTACATTGGAATCACTACCATAGAATCTAACACTACCATGGAAACACTAGACCCTATAAACTAAGACTACATTGGAACACTACCCTATAATCGAACACTACCATTGGAACACTACCCTTAATAAATAAACTAACACCACATTGGAACACTACCTATAATCTAACACGACATTGGAAACACTACCCTATAACCTAACATCTACATTGGAACCACCTATCATCTAACACTACCTTGGAACACTACCGATAAACTAACACTATCTATAAGCTAACACTACTTGAACACTACCTATAAACTAACACTAATTGGAACACTACTATAAGCTGACACTACTTGGGGAACACTACCTATAAACTAACAACTACATTGGAACACTACCTATATCTAACACTACATTGGAACACTACCGATAAACTAACACTTCGATAATCTAACACTACATTGGAACACTACCTATAAACTAACACTACCATTGGAACACTACCTATAATCTAACACTACATTGGAACACTACCTATAAACTAACACTACATTGGAACACTACCTATAATCTAACACTACATTGGAACACTACCTATAAACTAACACTACATTGGAACACTACCTATAATCTAACACTACATTGGAACACTACCTATAAACTAACACTACATTGGAACACTACCTATAATCTAACACTACATTGGAACACTACCTATAAACTAACACTACATTGGAACACTACCTATAATCTAACACTACATTGGAACACTACCTATAAACTAACACTATCTATAATCTAACACTACATTGGAACACTACCTATAAACTAACACTACATTGGAACACTACCTATAATCTAACACTACATTGGAACACTACCTATAAACTAACACTACATTGGAACACTACCTATAATCTAACACTACATTGGAACACTACCTATAATCTAACACTACATTGGAACACTACCTATAATCTAACACTACATTGGAACACTACCTATAAACTAACACTACCTATAATCTAACACTACATTGGAACACTACCTATAAACTAACACTACATTGGAACACTACCTATAATCTAACACTACATTGGAACACTATCTATAATCTAACACTACATTGGAACACTACCTATAAACTAACACTACCTATAATCTAACACTACCTATAATCTAACACTACATTGGAACACTATCTATAATCTAACACTACATTGGAACACTACCTATAATCTAACACTACCTATAATCTAACACTACATTGGAACACTACCTATAAACTAACACTACATTGGAACACTACCTATATCTAACACTACATTGGAACACTCCTATAAACTAACACTAACCTATAATCTAACACTACATTGGAACACTACCTATAAACTAACACTACATTGGAACACTACTATATCTAACACTACATTGAACACTACTATAAACTAACACTACCATTGGAACACTACCTATAATCTAACACTAGCTATAATCTAACATACATTGGAACACTACCTATAATCTAACACTACATTGGAACACTACCTATAAACTACACTACATTGGAACACTACCTATAATCTAACACTACATTGGAACACTACCTATAAACTAACACTACATTGGAACACTACCTATAATCTAACACTACATTGGAACACTACCTATAATCTAACACTACATTGGAACACTACCTATAATCTAACACTACATTGGAACACTACCTATAAACTAACACTATCTATAAACTAACACTACATTGGAACACTACCTATAAACTAACACTACATTGGAACACTACCTATAATCTAACACTACATTGGAACACTACCTATAATCTAACACTACATTGGAACACTACCTATAAACTAGATGTTTGTCTGTGTGCCTGTCTTTCTCTCTATTTCTCTACCTGGTCTTCCCTAAAATCTCTTGAGTCTCTTTTCTCTCTCGTTCTCTCTTTTTCAGTGATGTTCATGGGCAGTGAGAAGTACCCTGCTGAGAACGGCTTCGATGCCTTCCTAAAGAAGCACGGCGGCAGCGACAACGCCTCCACCGACTGCGAGAGGACCATCTTCCAATTTGACGTCCAGAGGAAGTATTTCCGCAAGGCACTCGACAGGTGAGCCAAGCTGCCCTAAATGGACAGTTCAGCCCGAAACCAACATTTTGTTGCATGTTTTCATGCCTCAAAAGTGGTCCTAAATGTAACTTAATTCGTTTCAAAACGCTTTGCAACGAAAAAGTAAAACCAGGTAGATACCTCCCCGTTTCAGACCATTTTCCTTAATTTGTTGCCAAATGAATAAGATCCCAGGTGTGCAGTTCGTCATTGGATGATCTCTCCAATTCCCCAGATGGGCCCAGTTCTTCATCTGCCCCCTGATGATCGAGGACGCCATTGACAGAGAGGTGGAGGCAGTGGACCGTGGTGAGTCAGGGAGTAGCACTAGTAGTAGGAGGAAACTACCAGCCTTGTCTCAATAGTCTAGAGGTCTCCTCCCACTTTCTCCTTCGTCTGCTCCGTTTGGTTTCAAACAGTTGGTCAGCATGAATGATGGACACGAGATGAAAAGAGACCCCTGTAAACAACTGAGACCCTCCCCATCTCCCATTTTCTCTCTCTGTTTTTTCTTTCTCTCTCATCTTTCTCTCTCTTCTCTCTCTCTAGTCTCACTCTCGCCAGTCTCTCTCTCTCTAGTCTCTCTCTCTCTTTCTCCAGTGTCTCTCTCTCTGGTCTCTCTCTCTAGTCTCTCTCTTGCCGGTCTCTCTCTCTCCGGTCTCTCTCTCTCTGTCTGGACTCTCTCTAGTCTCTCTCTTTCTAGTCTCTCACCTCTCTAGTCGCTCTCTCTCTAGTCGCTCTCTCTCTAGTCTCGCTCTCTCTCCGGTCTCTCTCTTTCTCTCTCTCTCTCTCTCCGGTCTCTCTCTCTCTCTGGTCTCTCTCTCTAACTCTCTCTCTCTCACTCTCTCTCTCTCTCTCTCTCTGGTCTCTCTCTCTCTCTCTGGTCTCGGTCTGGACTCTCTCGTCTCTCTATCTCTCTCTGTCTGGACTCTCTGTAGTCTCGCTCTCTCCGGTCTCTCTCTCTCTGGATTGTCAATGCCTCTCCCTTTGATGTGCAGAGTACCAACTGGCTCGGCCGTCAGACACCCACCGCAAGGAGATGCTGTTCGGAAGCCTGGCCAAGCCCAAGCACCCCATGGGCAAGTTCTGCTGTGGTGAGGATACACAGATACACACAGCTATGTCCCAATGATATCTTCTTCCTCCCAAAGTCTGCACTTTTTCACTTCCCTTTCCTAGCCCATGACTCCACCAATCCAATGTTTTAAGATTTGTGGGAAGTAGTGAACAAGTATACACTTCATGAAAAGGGAGATATTATTGGGACGCACCCATAGAGTACTAGTCTGGTAGGGGTTTGAATGTGCTACCCTGGTACCATAGGCTTCCATTGTTTGACAAACATTCTAATTCTAGTTATCCTGCTGGTAAAACAAATAGTTGTATGTATTTTCATGTGGACTGTCTTTTTCATTTGGACTGTCCTGCTTGTAAATGTCCCTAAGATCGTCAAGTGATGTCTGGCTTTAAATATGCACACACTGAGCATGTATTACATAGCTATGGATGGTAGTGTCGATCTCAGCATGTTTAATAATGCTGAAGAACGGTGTATAAACATTTAATAACTTCAATAACTGTGTAATGACGGTGTGAAAGCATTCATAAAAGCTGTAATAACGGATATGTCATGTCCTTGGTCTCCTCCAGGAAATGCTCAGACTCTGAAGCACAAGCCCAGAGAGAAGCAGATCAACACCTACCAGCGTCTGTGAGACTTCTGGAAGAGATACTACTCTGCCCACTACATAACCCTCACAGTGCAGTCCAAAGGTAGCTGGCCAACCGGCCAAACACAAAGGATCCCGTCTCCTTTACTGAAATGAATGAGGATTGTAGTCAGTCTATTGAAATGAATGAGGATTGTAGTCAGTCTATTGAAATGAATGAGGATTGTAGTCAGTCTACTAAAATGAGTGAGGATTTTAGTCAGTCTACCAAAATGAGTGAGGATCAGTCTACTGAAATTAACTGGACTCAACTGCTCTTGTCTGGCTATCAGAGACACTGAACACACTGGAGGAATGGGTTAGAGAGATCTTCAGCAAGGTGCCCAACAAGTAAGCACACACGGCGACACGCACACACACGTACTCACTCAAAACACTGTCAAATAAAACATTCTGTGTATTTTCACGTTTTGTTTCCAGTGCTCTACCAAGACCTGACTTCTCTGACCTCAGGACCCATTCGACACACCAGCCTACAGAAGTACACAGGCTTTAAATGAACATTTATACGTGTCATCATATCAACCTGTACTAACTCGATGTACCAATTCCTCAATTTCAATTGTGTGTGTGTGTTACAGTTGTTCCTGTGAGGAAGGTGCATGCTCTCACCACCACCTGGACCTTACCCCCTCAGGACAAGCTGGACAGGTGAGCCTTTTGTACCTTCTAATATTTTGAACCTTTTGTACTTGTTTCAAAGACCATTTGAGCTAAGATTGCTGTTTTATGTCTCCATTGTTATGAATAGCATTGGATACCGTCTTTGTTTGTCTTGGTGTCTCCATGTAGGGTGAAGCCCTTGCACTACATCTCTTGGTTGATTGGCCACGAAGGCACCGGCAGCATCCTATCCCTGCTCCGGGAGAAGTGCTGGGCCTTGGCTCTGTTTGGAGGGAACAGTGAGATGGGCTTTGACCAGAACACCACCTACTCCATTTTCTCCATATCTGAGCGTCACTGACGAAGGCTTCCAGAACTTCTATCAGGTCAGCTGGTGCAAACACACACACACACGCTCATATGAGAAGACTCTCACACACACACACACACACACACAATCACACACATGTTCACGTGAGAAGACTCACACACACACACATGCTCATGTGCGAAGAGTCTAACACACACACACAGACACAGTCTAGTTTTAACCATGCAGCTGTTTCCCTCTACAGGTGGTTCATCTAGTGTTCCAGTACATGAAGATGCTGCAGACTGTGGGTCCACAGCAGAGGATCTATGAAGAAATCCAGAAGATGAAGCCAATGAGTTCCACTACCAGGAGCAGGTACAGTTTCACTTCCCTTAGTCCCTCCGTCACAAAGCTGACTTTAGACTGTCGTTACCATGACGTCACTACCATGACATAACACTGTCATAAGTTGTGTGCTTGAGGTTTTTTCGTTTAGGATTCTGCCCTAATATGGTTCTGTATCTCTGAACCCCTGTCCTATCATCCTGCCACAGACCGACCCCATAGAGTATGTGGAGAACATCTGTGAGAACATGCAGCTCTTCCCCAAAGAGGACTTCCTGACTGGAGACCAGCTCCAGCCCAGCCCTAAAGAGTTTGGTTGCACCACAGTATTGGCAGAACAATAGCAACTTCTAAAGCCTGTACTGCAACTGTAATGCACGCAACTGTATACTTCATGTGTGTGTGTCCTCTACAGGTGACCGCCTCGACCATGGCCCTGCTCACCCCAGAGAGGGCCAACCTGCTTCTGCTGTCCCCAGAGCACGAGGGCCACTGTTCCCTCGAGGAGAACTACAGCACAGAGGGTAAGAGCAGGGCTGTGTTGGAGATTATATTCAGCCACCTTCAGAAGGACGTTGGATTGATTTTTTAAAAGTATCTTATTCTGTAATGACCATTTACCATGTCATCATGTAAATACATGGTAATGTATATACTGTAAAAGAAAGTGCTGCCCTTTGTTTTTCTGTAAACTTATCCTTGAAACCCAGTTACAGGGATTGACTGAAATTAGGCCCACAGTCATTGTTATCAATATCTTGTTCCAGAATATGTTCAATCCATAGATCACTCCACATACTCAGTGTGGCTGTATATTCACAGACCATTTCCTGACATGATGGTGTGTGTGACGTTAATGTGGTGTGTTCGGCCTGTCTGTCTGTCTGTGACGGAGCCCTATGGGCCCTGATCAAAAGCTGTGCATTGTATAGGAAATAGGGTGCTTTGGGATGTAACCTGAGTGTCCTGTTCTGTCCTGGCAGACCTCCCTGAGGAGCGGGCACAGCGCTGGGCCAGAGACTTTGACCTCAACCCCGACCTCCACTTGCCCGCTGAGAACAAGTTCATTGGTCAGTACAGATGATGGACATTGTTGTGTACCAATCACATCCACTCTACAACATTCACTTTTTGGTCTATTGATATTGTTATACATGCTTTGCCATATTCATATTCCTATCCCGTTTCTTGTTTCCATAGCAACGGATTTCACCCTGAAACCGTCGGACTGTCCTGACACAGAAGTCCCGGTGCGGATAGTGAACAACGAGAGAGGCTGTCTCTGGTTCAAGAAGGACAATAAGTTCAAGATACCTAAAGGTGTGGTGGTATGTGTTTTTTTGTTAACATACCTGGTAATGACTCTTGTTAGCTTGGGCTTCTTAGGTAGTATATAACCGCTACTTAGGTAGTATATAACCGCTACTTAGGTAGTATATAACCACTACTTAGGTAGTATATAACCGCTTCTTAGGTAGTATATAACCGCTACTTAGGTAGTGTATAACCGCTACTTAGGTAGTATATAACCGCTACTTAGGTAGTATATAACCGCTACTTAGGTAGTATATAACCGCTACTTAGGTAGTATATAACCGCTTCTTAGGTAGTATATAACCGCTACTTAGGTAGTATATAACCGCTACTTAGGTAGTATATAACCACTACTTAGGTAGTATATAACCACTACTTAGGTAGTATATAACCGCTTCTTAGGTAGTATATAACCGCTACTTAGGTAGTGTATAACCGCTACTTAGGTAGTATATAACCGCTTCTTAGGTAGTATATAACCGCTACTTAGGTAGTGTATAACCGCTACTTAGGTAGTATATAACCGCTACTTAGGTAGTTTATAACCGCTACTTAGGTAGTATATAACCGCTACTTAGGTAGTATATAACCGCTACTTAGGTAGTTTATAGCCGCTACTTAGGTAGTATATAACCGCTACTTAGGTAGTATATAACCGCTACTTAGGTAGTATATAACCGCTACTTAGGTAGTATATAACCGCTACTTAGGTAGTGTATAACCGCTACTTAGGTAGTATATAACCGCTACTTAGGTAGTTTATAACCGCTACTTAGGTAGTGTATAACCGCTACTTAGGTAGTGTATAACCGCTACTTAGGTAGTGTATAACCGCTACTTAGGTAGTATATAACCGCTACTTAGGTAGTATATAACTTCTACTTAGGTAGTATATAACCGCTACTTAGGTAGTATATAACCGCTACTTAGGTAGTATATAACCGCTACTTAGGTAGTTTATAACCGCTACTTAGGTAGTATATAACTTCTACTTAGGTAGTATATAACCGCTACTTAGGTAGTTTATAACCGCTACTTAGGTAGTATATAACCGCTACTTAGGTAGTTTATAACCGCTACTTAGGTAGTGTATAACCGCTACTTAGGTAGTGTATAACCGCTACTTAGGTAGTGTATAACCGCTACTTAGGTAGTGTATATAACCTAAGGGAATTGCAGTGACACCTGGGATTTACTCTTTTTAAATATGTGTAAGACAAATGTTAGTAGCTACTAGGCTGACACATTTCAAATGATATCCTGTTTAATTTATTTAATACTTTCCCAAATGTTTCTTCTTCTAGCTTATGTCCGTTTTAACCTCATCTCCCCGATGATTCAGAAATCTCCAGAGAAGTTAGTATTTTATTTGAATACAAAACCCTTACTTATTGGTTGTGGATGTTGACATATTTTCTTTCAGTCACTCTAAATGTGTATGTATTGTGGCCCTGTAGCCTGGTGCTGTTTGACATCTTTGTGAACATCCTGGCCCACAACCAGGCAGAGCCGGCCTACGAGGCTGACGTGGCCCAGCTGGAGTACAAACTGATCGCCGGGGAACATGGCCTGGTCATCAGGGTCAAGGGCTTCAACCACAAGCTGCCTGTGAGTCTCACACATGCACAATACATACAGAGCCACTCAGTATGAACACACACATAGATGTTAGTGATGGGGGGAAGAAATCTATAAAGTTACATATTGCGATATTATTTTGGATGATATTATATCGATACTTTGACTCCAAGTATCGATTTGTTTAAAAAAATGCTAGGTAGCGTAAGCTAGCGCTAGTCAGCTGCACCTGCACCCAAAATGGCTGGTATTTTTTCAAAATATAGCTTGTTCTCCATCTTCTTTTTATATATTGAGCCAATATGTTTTCAGAACTTTATTTCCATGACTGATCAAAAATAATTTTCTCATGCTCTCTCTAGTCTCTCTGCAGTAGACATATGGTGAGCAATATGTTTGGAACATCGAATCGCAATAAAATCACAGTATCGAATCAACAATATTTACATTTACATTTATGTAATTTAGCAGACGCTCTTATCCAGAGCGACTTACAAATTGGACTTACAATACATGTTGTATCTGCACTTAAGTATCATGATAATATCGTATCGTAACGTCCCTGGCAATTCCCAACCCTAATAGACGCACAGAATGTACACACACACACACCTACAGCTCTCCTGCACTCATACTCATTCTGCCTATTCATACAACCCCAATCTATAAACCCATTCTGTACTCAACAAATGTACCCTAGCTTCAGCCAGCCCTAAAGCTGACCTCCTGCCAACTCAACCTCCCTGCCTCTGTCCCTGTGCTAGTTACTGTTGAACCTGATGGTGGACCGCCTGGCAGACTTCACGGCTGAGCCCGGCGTGTTCACCATGTTCGCAGAGCAGCTGAAGAAGACCTACTTCAACATCCTCATCAAGCCAGAGAGGCTGGGGAAGTGAGTCTGATTTCTGACACTGTGACTGCTAAACCCTCTATAGGCTACAGCAGGGGTAGCCAACCCTGTTCCTGGAGTGCTGCAGGTACCGCAGGATTTTGTTCCAACTAGGCACCACACCCGACCAACTGAGCTAATTGATCAGTTCAGTGATTGCCTAAATTCAACACACCTGACTGCTCAACCCTCTATAGCCCTCAAACTCAACTCTGTACCTCGATGCCAGTTCCACTCCATTTTTTAATTGTTCCCCTCTAATCAGGGACTGACTCTATAAGGTGACGAAAGTGTTCCACAGGGATGCTGGCCCATGTTGACTCCAATGCTTCCCTCAGTTGTGTCAAGTTGGCTGGATGTCCTTTGTGTGGTGGACCATTCTTGATACACATGGGAAACTGTTGAGCGTGAAAAACCCAGCAGCGTTTCAGTTCTTGCCACACTCAAACCGGTGCACCTGGCATCTACTACCATACCCCGTTCAAAGGCACTTAAATCTTTTGTCTTGCCCATTCACCCTCTGAATGGCATACATACACAATCCATGTGTCAATTGTCTCAAAGCTTAAAATTCCTTCTTTAACCTGTCTCCTCCCATTCATCTACACTGATTTGAAGTGGATTAACAGGTGACATCAATAAGGGATCATAGCTTTCACCTGGATTCACCTGGTCAGTCTATGTCATGGAAAGAGCAGGTGTTCCTAATGTTATAATGGTCAACATTCACAATCTAATTCAACAAACAAAATTGAAAATGACTTGTACTTATATTGTCTATTACTTATAATTCATGGAGAAAATTGTACATTTTATGTTTCCTCCCTTAGCTTGTGGCAAGCTGTGACATACTATGCTGCCAACTCTAACATCAATCAGACCTTTCCCCCAAAAGTATACCAAAAAAAGTATTCTCTCTCTCTCCTATCTAAATCAAATCAAATCATATTTTATTGGTCACATGCGCCGAATACAACAGGTGCAGACATTACAGTGAAATGCTTACTTAACCATCTATCTCTCTCTCTCTCTCTCTCTCTCTCTCTCTCTCTCTCTCTCTCTCTCTCTCTCTCTCTCTCTTTCAGAATGTGAGTCAGTTGTAAAGTGATAAACTAGCTTAAACAGTAACAATGATAAATTATTTGAATGGATCTTCCCCCTCTCTCCTACCTCTCTCTCCCAATCTCCTTCTCTCTTCCACACAATCTCTCTCTCTCTCTCAGGGACGTGCGTCTGTTGATCCTGGAGCACTGTCGCTGGTCGGTCATCCAGAAGTACCAAGCCATCATGAAGGGCCTCACCGTGGATGACCTCATGACCTTTGTCAGCGGCCTCAAAGCCCAGCTGTACACCGAGGGGCTGGTGCAGGGCAACTTCACTAGCACAGTGAGCCGCTTTTATAAAAACAGACACGCACACACACCGTCTCAGATGTGCACGCGCGCACACACACACATCCAACGACCTGAGGCATGTTTTCTTTCTCACTCAAAATCTTTTTTTCGCTTGTCTAGAGGACAGACTAAAATAGCTGTTTAGCGCTAACTCTGGCACTCTTGCATTGCAATCTTTCTAGGATGTTGATTATTGTCCTAATCAAATTGGTGATGTGAATTAATAAATTACTGTCCTGCTGCTAACCCTTATCCTGGCTGACACAGAGACCATGTGACACAGCGAGAGGAGCTGTGCCCCACTGGTCTGGAAAAGATGATTTTATAATTACATATTCTGCTCTTTTCAATAATGGACACATTGATTGATTGATTGATGGATTGATTGATTCTCTCGGAAAAAAAAAAATTCTTCCTGCGGGGTTGAGACCTCTCGTTTTGATTTAAAACTCCAACAGTTATCAGCCAGACTAGCTAAACCTAAGATATGCTAATTATGCTAATAGGCATTTTGTAACTGTTCTTTGTCCAACAGGAGTCAATTGAGTTTCTACAGTATTTTATTAAGTAAGTATCCTCGCTCTCGTTCTGCTTGCCCAATTTTCTGTCTTCTCTCTTTCTTAACACTCTCTCAAAGAACTTCTGTTTTCGGCACTATTAAAAACAGTGTTTTGACTACAACGCACGAAAAGCACTCTCCAAATGAAGTTATTACTATCAACAAACGCAGTACTTGCAAGGACTGAAGGTTAATTCAACAAACGCAGTACTTGCAAGGATTGAGACTTGTGGTTGTTATTATCTAATTTGGTGAATGCACTGATTGTAAGTCACTCTGTATAGGAGTGTCAGCCAAATGACAACGTTATCGATATTATTCTGGTTATCAATATTTTATTGGTTATCGATATTGTACTGCATTGTTGAGGGAGCTAGCGCGTTAGCATGTCACTGCACCTTTTATACCTGCTGTAAACTCTGTACGTGACAAATACAATTTGATTTGATGTAAAAGCAATCATCTTCTACACTCTACAGCAAGCTGCAGTTCAAGCATCTCTCCGTGGAGGTCCCTGTGCTCTTCAGAGCGGTTCCTCAGAAGCCTCACCTCTGCAAAGTAAAGTCCCTCAACAAAGGAGACGCCAACTCGGAAGTTACTGTCTACTACCAGGTACCCAACATTCACACAACATTCGCTCAACGTTAGTTAGGTGTATTATGGTTAGTATTTTTATGTCGAAAAATAACCTGCCTCTTCCTGTCCTTCTCCAATCAGGCTTGAAGAACCTGAGAGAACACACGCTGATGGAGTTATTGGTGGTGAGCGTTGTTGCGAACAAGGCTTGACTGGAAAACCTGAGTCGGTGAGTGGTGTTATGGGTAATGAAGTATATTTGCTGCTATGTCCACAGATGCACATGGAGGAACCTTGCTTTGACTTCCTCAGGACAAAGGAGACTCTTGGGTTAGTTGTTTTTTTATCTCTCCATAACTCTGAAAATGTGAAAAAGCTATATTTTATACCACTATAACAGCTATATACCACTAAAATACCACTATAGCACTTACTAGTTCATAACTACTACTTGTTCAAATAAAACAATTCCTCTTACAGACACCCCATCCCCACCTAGAGTAGAAGCTAATTTTCACTACCTAACCGAGCCTTGTTGGCTGATTTTTTTACCTCTGACCTTGTACCCATCAGCTATCAGGTGTACCCCACCTGCAGAAACACTTCCGTGATCCTGGGCTTCTCCATCACCATGGAAACGGAGGCCACTAAGTTCAAGTGAGTCACCAGTTCACTTTTGCCATTAGCACTGTACATCTCATACACTAGACTTGTGTCATATTCAAATGACTCAAATGTTATTGCTATAAAGTAACACGTGTGATATAGTTGAATATTCAGCATGCATATGGAAACCCAGCTGGTAGTGTCAAGGTCAGTGACAGATGATGACGTGTTTGTTAGGGGCAGTTCAGAGGAGAAGGATGGTAGCATCATATTCAGGTCAGATAGTAGCATAGTTGATAGTAGAGTTGTATTAGATGGTAGCAGTACAATATGCTGCTAATTTAAGCCTTAGAATATTATCACAAGTGCAAGATTTATATAAATAAGAGCACCTGTTCATCAAAACAACTCTTGTTGCTGTTGTTTTGGGAGATGCCATCACCTTTTCCTTTTAAAATATAAATGAGAGGTAGTCTGACGCTCCCCGTGTCCTGCTCTCTCTCTCTCTCCCAGCACGGACTACGTGGAGACCAAGATTGAGGAGTTCCTGGTGAGCTTCGGAGAGAAGATGACCAACCTCATGGACGAGGCCTTCAAGACCCAGGTGACCGCTCTCATCAAGCTCAAAGAGTGTGAGGACACACACCTGGGCGAGGAGGTGGACCGCAACTGGTTCGAGGTGGTCAGCCAGCAGTACATCTTCGACCGCCTCAACAGAGAGGTAACCCGGTCACAGCCGCACAGTTTACTCGAACTCTCCGTCATAATGTCGACATCAGGGGTGTCCTTCCCTCCTGAAGGTGTACTACTGTACACCGGTGTGTGTGTGTGTTTGTGTGTGCGTACGCTGTGTGTGTTAACCGTACCGTATGGAGCACTCTGGGTCTGCATCAGTCCAGGGGTCTGCAGGCTCAGGGTTTTCAGAGTGGAGGGCTGGGGGGGGGGGGGCACAGCGGGCATGAGGGATACTGGGGGCACAGCCCCTCCATCATTTACATGCCATGGCTGCTTCAGCTCACTGGCACCGGCACTAGGTGAAGGAGGGGGGGGCTGAAGCATCTGGGGGAGAGAAAGGGTAAGGAGGTTAATTCATGCATTGACTTATCCTGTTCCTCTGTTCTGCAAATTGAGGCTCTGAAGATCATCACCAAAGCAGAGCTGCTGTCCTGGTTCATGGAGCACAGGGACGCCACCAGCAAGAAACTCAGCGTGCATGTAAGTCTGCCAGCTCTGCAGTCCTCTGTGTGTGTGTGTGCAAGGGAGCACATTAAGTGGTATCCCCCTATCAGCTCCTCCTCCAGAGCTAACTGTAACTCCTCCTCCAGAGCTTACTGTAACTCCTCCTCCAGAGCTTACTGTAACTCCTCCTCCAGAGCTAACTGTAACTCCTCCTCCAGAGCTTACTGTAACTCCTCCTCCAGAGCTAACTGTAACTCCTCCTCCAGAGCTTACTGTAACTCCTCCTCCAGAGCTTACTGTAACTCCTCCTCCAGAGCTTACTGTAACTCCTCTCCCTCTGTCAGGTGGTTAGCTTTGGAGAGGAGGAGAGCAACCAGGCAGGTCAGAGCAGCTGCAGCCCCAACCCCAGCCCCTCAGAGGGGGAAGAGGACCAAGGCCAGGCCCCTAAAACCTCTACCTACTCCTACGGAGAAGTCTCCAAGCTGACCTTCGTGCCCGCCTCGCCCATGCTGGCCGACGCTACGCTCATTGACGACATCCGCTTGTTCACCTCCTCCCTCACCCTCTACCACTACCACAAAAGTAGATCGGTTCCACACATTGGTTCTGCATTGCAGTAGGCGACTGAAGGAGCAGTGGGAGCCATTTTGGTTCCGGATGACTAGCCAGGGCAGGCCACAATGCAGTGCAGTGGTGTCTTCTGAAGAGAAACTCGTATCTCTGCTCCTCTCTTTTCTCCCTCTTCCTCCCCCATCTCTCTCTTCATCCACATTAATCAAATATCAACTGCAGTAGCAGGCACTAGTATTAATAATGGCATTCACCACTAGTCAGCTACACCAAAGCACTGTTAAAGAAAGGAAATTGGTTGAGAGGTCATCAGTTTGTCCTTTTGTTCTCCACAGTCCCTGATTGATTTAATAGGAGGAACCATCTTTGCTGTGATTGGTAGTAGTAAAGACTCAGGGTTTGGCTGGCAGGAGGGTGGACAGAGAGGGTGGAAAAGAGGACGGAGATTCTATCATAATATCTTCTTTCGTTTTATTTGGACTTCTTCATGTCACAGACACATCTCCTCATCGCTAACGTGGAAGAAGGATTGCGTGTATTTTAACAATGGACATCAGGGTTAACATTTTACATGTTCATACTGTAAGATTTTGTCGATAGAAAAATGTAGTATGTTTGTCATAATGGTAAGGCATGGTCAGTATGTGACGTAGTTTCTGATTTGTTTCCGAGGTATTGTTTTAACTTTTATTCTGTTGTAAAGAGGCTAAAGGGAAAACCTCACTTAATGTAGGCTTAACATTTCAGCCCCACCTCTGCCTTTTTAAAATCACTGGACGACTGGCATGTTTCAATCTATAGCCTGTTATTATCATTATCTTTCAATGGAAATATTTATTAAAAGTGAATGTAGGATATTTCATTCGTTTTTTGGTCTTCTCTTCCATCTGATATAATGCAGTGTTGATTACCAATTATTTTAAATACCCATTTACAGGTGGGTGCTAAAACATTGTTGGTAGATGGGGTTAGTTATCCAGGTCAAGAGCTTTGGATCTTGTGAAAAGCACTAGAATTGTAATGCATTATTATTTTCAGTTTATATGGACTGTTGTACCTTGGGGAAAATGCTTTAAGTAATCACAGCCATTTCGATTATTGCTTAACACATAATGGCAGATTGTATGCTACGGCATACTTTCCGTGTACTGTACCTGAATTAGGTCTACCTGTAAAGCACTAGGATTAATACCAATGTACCACACCCTAGTTCGTGACCTACTTTTCATGTCATTGTTACGACAGCTCAAACGTCATTCTCCTATGAGAATTAGCTATGCCCAAATAAGGTAAACAATCATTTGATTGGTCAGATTTTGACCACTGAACCAATAAATTAAAGTTGTCGCCTACCTAGACACAATAAAGCACCTTGTTTTAAGGAAGAGGGGCAATAATGTGACTGCACCTATGCGGCTGGAATGGGTAAGTCCAATTCATTGCTATAGATCAGTGCTTGACTTGGACTGAAATAGGTGCCTTTACTCATTTTGGGTGCGGGTAGTGTTTATATTTAGGTGCAGGAGTTCCACAAACTTTTGAGACAGAATCATTAGATCATTTGTTTTGGTACTGTCCATTTGTAGCTTGTTTTTGGACACAGGTTAAAGGATTGCAATATTTCCCTGGAGCTAACCCTGCAGATGGCATTACTGGGTGATCTGAAAACTCAGTCAATCGATCAATAATATAATAATACTTTTAGCAAAAATGTTTATTTTCAATTTACAATCTGTAGAAACAATGAGAATAGAAGGGTTCAGAACTTTTGTAAAACATCACAGAACAGTTGAAAAATATATGGCAAATAGAAATCCAATATGGATGGTGTTAAGAGATAGATGGGAGGTGTTGCATGGAGTTGAAGGATGGGACTAATAACAACTAACAACAACTAATAACAACAAGATAACTAATAATGTAAGCATACTGTGTCCATAATAAAAAATTAAAAAATATGCCATTTAGCAGACGCTTTTATCCAAAGCGACTTACAGTCATGTGCGCATACATTTTTACGTATGGGTGGTCCCGGGGATCGAACCCACTACCCTGGCGTTACAAGCGCCATGCTCTACCAATTGAGCTACAATACGTATATAGGTTATAGGTTGAGAGATTTTGTGAAAGAGCACAGTTAGAAAGATATGGCATATAGAAGCAAACCGGATGGACATCATGAAAATGATCGGAGAGGTTGAGGGTAGAGGAAGTTCCAGAGTAAAAACAAACAAAATAGAATTATTGTAAAATTGTCATAAAATGTATATAGTATGTATAAGCTGGAAGTAGAGGCCTAAGCATTGTTGTTCACTAGTTTACTCCAATTAGGGAAGGGGTGGTGAGGTTGGAAAGTAATAAAGGGAAATATATTTTTTAAAAGGATATGTGTATGTATGTGCATACAGTGGGGAGAACAAGTATTTGATACACTGCCGATTTTGCAGGTTTTCCTACTTACAAAGCATGTAGAGGTCTGTAATTTTTATCATAGGTACACTTCAACTGTGAGAGACGGAATCTAAAACAAAAATCCAGAAAATCACATTGTATGATTTTTAAGTAATTAATTTGCATTTTATTGCATTACATAAGTATTTGATCACCTACCAACCAGTAAGAATTCCGGCTCTCACAGACCTGTTAGTTTTTCTTTAAGAAGCCCTCCTGTTCTCCACTCATTACCTGTATTAACTGCACCTGTTTGAACTCGTTACCTGTATAAAAGACACCTGTCTACACACTCAATCAAACAGACTCCAACCTCTCCACAATGGCCAAGACCAGAGAGCTGTGTAAGGACATCAGAGATAAAATTGTAGACCTGCACAAGGCTGGGATGGGCTACAGGACAATAGGCAAGCAGCTTGGTGAGAAGGCAACAACTGTTGGCGCAATTATTAGAAAATGGAAGAAGTTCAAGATGATGGTCAATCACCCTAGATCTGGGGCTCCATGCAAGATCTCACCTCGTGGGGCATCAATGATCATGAGGAAGGTGAGGGATCAGCCCAGAACTACACGGCAGGACCTGGTCAATGACCTGAAGAGAGCTGGGACCACAGTCTCAAAGAAAACCATTAGTAACACACTACGCCGTCATGGATTAAAATCCTGCAGCGCACGCAAGGTCCCCCTGCTCAAGCCAGCGCATGTCCAGGCCTGTCTGAAGTTTGCCAATGACCATCTGGAGGATCCAGAGGAGGAATGGGAGAAGGTCATGTGGTCTGATGAGACAAATATAGAGCTTTTTGGTCTAAACTCCACTCGCCGTGTTTGGAGGAAGAAGAAGGATGAGTAGAACCCCAAGAACACCATCCCAACCGTGAAGCATGGAGGTGGAAACATTATTCTTTGGGGATGCTTTTCTGCAAAGGGGACAGGACGACTGCACCGTATTGAGGGGAGGATGGATGGGGCCATGTATCGCAAGATCTTGGCCAACAACCTCCTTCCCTCAGTAAGAGCATTGAAGATGGGTCGTGGCTGGGTCTTCCAGCATGACAGCGACCCGAAACACACAGCCAGGGCAACTAAGGAGTGGCTCCGTAAGAAGCATCTCAAGGTCCTGGAGTGGCCTAGCCAGTCTCCAGACCTGAACCCAATAGAAAATCTTTGGAGGGAGCTGAAAGTCCGTATTGCCCAGCGACAGCCCCGAAACCTGAAGGATCTGGAGAAGGTATGGAGGAGTGGGCCAAAATCCCTGCTGCAGTGTGTGCAAACCTGGTCAAGAACTACAGGAAACGTATGATCTCTTTAATTGCAAACATTTACATTACATTTATATTTACGTCATTTAGCAGACGCTCTTATCCAGAGCGACTTACAGTTAGTGAGTGCATACATTATTTTTATTTTTTCATACTAGCCCCCCGTGGGAAACGAACCCACAACCCTGCCGTTGCAAACGCCATGCGCTACCAACTGAGCTACATCCCTGCCGGCCATTCCCTCCCCTACCCTGGATGACGCTGGGCCAATTGTGCGCCGCTCCATGGGTCAAACAAAGGTTTCTGTACCAAATATTAAGTTCTGCTTTTCTGATGTATCAAATACTTATGTCATGCAATAAAATGCAAATTAATTACTTAAAAATCATACAATGTGATTTTCTGGATTAAAAAATAAATAATTACAGACCTCTACATGCTTTGTAAGTAGGAAAACCTGCAAAATCGGCAGTGTATCAAATACTTGTTCTCCCCACTGTATATATATATTTGCGAGGGGAAAAAAAACATGGGGTTTGGAAGTGATGCAGACAATTACATTGATGGAAGTTACAATCTATCTGCAATATTAAAGCTGATCTACCCCCTAAAAAATAAAAAAAATAAAAAATGTTGAGCTAAAATTAAGAGGAACAGGAGCTCAAGCAGTAGAACATTTGAGGTGCCGGTACTCGGCTCTGGTGAGCGCCTGCCCATGTCGAGCACTGCTATAGATTAATTCTATACTTTCTTAAATATACAATTGTGAGTGGGTACATGAAGGTTAAAATAAGTGCTATTGTAAAATGAGAGTAAAGGTTATACATTTATTTTATGTTAGAATAAACCATAGATAGATATAGAACCGCAATAAACATTCTACCAACACATAAAAAAATAAAATAAAATAAACATTCTAGCATCTATTCTACACACTATGATGGGCTACTTTAATTAGTTATTGTGGGTATGCTCAAATGTACTTGCCTCCTACGTCCATTCCGGTCTCACAAGCTTACGTTCTGTTTCGCTACATGGATTCAAAACTTAATGATGGATTGAAGTGAAAAGAAACTACACATAAAATATATATATATATATTTGGCACGTGCCGAATACAACAGGTGTAGACCTTACAGTGAAATGCTTACTTACAAGCCCTTAACCAACGATGCAGTTTTAAGAAAATAGAGTTAAGAAAAATATTTACTAAATAAACTAGTGTTAAAAAAAGAAGAAACAAAGAACATAATAAAATAACAATAATGAGGCTGTATACAGGAGGTACCGGTACCGAGTCAATGTGAGGGGGTACAGGTTAGTCCAGGTAATTTGTACTGTACATGTAGGTAGGGGTAAAGTGACTGCATAGATAATAAACAGTGAGTAGCAGCAGTGTAAAATCAAAGGGGGGGGGGGGATAAATGCAAATAGTCCGGGTGGCCATTTGATTAATTGTTCAGCAGTCTTATGGCTTGGGGTTAGAAGCTGTTCAGAAGCCTTTTGGACCTAGACTTGGCCCTCCAGTACCGCTTGCCGTGCGGTAGCAGAGAGAACAGTCTATGACTTGGGTGACTGGAGTCTTTGACCATTTTTTGGACCTTCCTCTGACATAGGCTTGTATAGAGGTCCTGGATGGCAGAACGCTTGACTCCAGTGATGTACTGGGCCGCACGCACTACCCTCTGTAGCGCCTTACGGTCGGATCCCGAGCAGTTGCCATACCAGGCGGTGATGCAACCGGTCAGGATGCTCTCGATGGTGCAGCTGTATAACTTTTTGAGGATCTGGGGACCCATGCCTAATCTTTTCAGTCTCCTGAGGGGGAAAAGGCATTGTCATGCCCTCTTCACAACTTTCTTGGTGTGTTTGGACCATGATAGTCTATTGGTGATGTGGACACCAAGGAACTTGAAACTCTTGACCCACTCCACTACAGCCCCGTCGATGTGAATGGGGGCGTGTTCGGCCCTCCTTTTCCTGTAGTCCACGATCATCTCCTTTGTCTTGCTCACAATGAGGGAGAGGTTGTTGTCCTGGCACCACACTGCCAGGTCTCTGACCTCCTCCCTATTGGCTGTCTCATTGTTGTCTGTGATCAGGCCTACCACCGTTGTGTCGTCAGCAAACTTAATGATGGTGTTGGA